TTGGTATTTGCTATAACAATGGGATTGGAATTAAAGTAGATAAATATCAAGCATTTATTGATTTTCATAAATCTGCTGAGATGGGACATGCTAATGGAACATTCAATGTAGGTTATTGTTATTCTCATGGAATTGGAGTTGAAAAGAATGAGTATAAAGCGTTCATTAATTTTCAAAAATCTGCTGAGATGGGAAATGCTGGTGGAACATATAATGTTGGCTGTTGTTACGAAAACGGGATTGGAATTGAAAAGGATGAGCATAAAGCATTTATTTATTATCAGAGATCTGCAGAAATGAACCATTCCGAAGGAACACGTAGTGTTGGTTATTGCTATCAAAATGGAATTGGAGTTGAAAAAGACGATCATAAAGTATTTGTTTATTATCAAAAATCTTCTGATATGGGAGATGCTGACGGGACATATAATCTTGGTAACTGTTATCGAGGTGGAAAAGGTGTTGAAATAGATGAACATAAGGCATTCAAATATTATCTGAAATCTGCTGAAATGGGATGTGCTGCTGGAATGTCACGAGTTGGTGACTGTTATCGAAATGGAGTTGGAACAACAAGAGACCTACAAAAAGCCAGCTATTGGTATCAAATGTAAATAAATTACTTAAATCTTTTTTTTTACAATATGTGTGTTTGTTTAATAATTTCATGTATTTAAAATTGATAATTAGGGAAAAGAATCAGACACCTGGTATCTTATTATTTATTTAATTCAATGATAATGTCGAATCTAAAATTAATTATTTTTGCGTTCATTATTAGTTACATATGAATGGGTTTATAAAAACCTTGATGGTGCTTTAAAAGGAATGTTGATCGAAAATAAATACGATTTATCATGGATTCCTTATAACGAATTTAAAGAAATTGACGAGAAAGGACAAGGTGGTTTTGCAACAGTATATTCGGCTAAATGGTTTGATCGAAATCGGAAATTCGAAATAAATGTCGCACTTAAATTAATTCACGGATCAAGATACCGTCATGAAGAATTTATCAATGAGGTAATTGTATTTACCTTATCAACTTGATGTTTTTCGTTTAACAACTTGGTCTCATATCTTTTAAATAATAAGTTGAAAGTATATTGCGACATCGGCATTAAAGAACACACATTTTTAAAATGTTTTGGCATATCAAGGGATAATGATTCTAAAGACTATATTCTCGTTATGAAATATGCGTTATTGGGCTCGTTACGTGAAAATCTTTATTCAGTATCACGTATGAAATGGAAAAAGAAATTAACTATGCTCAATTGTATAGCTTCTGACCTTCATATAATTCATTCTCAAAATCTTATTCACAAAGATTTACATAGTGGAAATATACTTTTAAACGACCTTAATAGTGCATATATTGCAGATTTAGGTTTATCGGCATTAGCTAACATGGAATCGGATAACCAAGTATGTGGTATAATGCCATATATTGCACCAGAAGTATTATACAATAGAGAATATAGTAAGGCATCTGATGTATATTCTTTTGGTATCGTGGCGTATGAAATAGTATCTGGTTTTCGAGCATATCACGACGTTTCGCATGATATCCAACTACAGATCAACATCTATAAGGGACTGCGTCCAAATATTCCAAAACATGTACCAAGTTTAGTTGCTGAGCTAATAAATAGATGTTTGGATGCTCAGCCGAACAAAAGACAAACTTCTGAAGAAATAAGTAATACCATAGACATGTGGAATAATGAAATTTCAAAAGATGAACCAACTGAATTCGTTAGACAAATAAAGATGGCTGATGAAATGCTTAATGATTTTTCGTCATTTCATTCCGAAATTCATCCCGAAGCAGTTTACATGAGCAGACAATTCGGTCCTCTAAATGCCAGGAATCATTTGGGTAAATATATGACACATTTGTAATATTATAATATTGTCTTCTATCTTACCATTCTAACGATATTATCTAATTATTTTGAAAGATAACCAATATGAACAAAAGAATTCCGAAAGCTTAATAAAAATAGACCCACTTAGTGTAAGTGAAAAGATTAATAATAATAAAATCATTCACCAAAGATCTGATGAGAGAGAAGATGCTGAGGGAATGATAAAACTT